AAAAAAAAGGAATCGGAATATTTTTTATCCCGGAATTTATTTGAAAAAATGTGAATCATCACGAAACGGGGAAAATACGAAATTTCATTGGTGCCTCCAGTGAACATTTCCCTCCCCCGAGTGAAATCCATTAAATATTCCCACAAAGTCAGACTAAAAAAAGAGACGAGTGAAGTTTGTTAAAAATGTTGTAATCAAACTAAAACTTTGAGCGTTCATATTTCACAGGAACACGGGGGGTTATCAGTCCAGTGAAAATGATTACATCAACTTCCCTTCCATCAATTTTTTCACCACTCGACAGCACTATCTACCACCCGCTGAAAGTTCCTCCATTGAATTAGAGAAAAGTTTATTTTTACTTGCAAAAAGAGTGCGGGAGAGAATTCAAGCGATAAATTTGCTATTCAGATCACGCGACACTGATTTTATTCCACTCGTGGCTCCACCGATTGGGATCCAACCACTCGCCAATTCCGGGTTCACCTCGTTTTATTTATTTTATTTATTTTATTTACTTTATTATTTAACGACGTGTCACCTTGATTGTGATTCTGTCGCCTCAGACGATTTTCCTGCTTTACTCTTCGTACTGTTGTTGCCATTGCGTGTTGGCTCACCATTTCTAAATTACCCACCAGTTAATACCACTTTTTTCGCACCTCAAACGAAATTTCTCGACAATTTAACAATTTAACAACTTTATGAATTATCCACCAGTTAATTAAACGTTTACACACGTCAAACGAAATTTTTCTGTACTTTATCCAGATAATCAGATAATTATTTCATTATTTTATTTTATTCAAATCCAAATGATTAATTGCACTCCCCAATTTCACTGGTAAATGAAAAAATCACTGCCACGTGTATATATAATTAATAAAAATATTATATTTGATTGGAGATAATAAATTAATGAAATATTTCGGTGAAACTCGATTTGGAAAGTTGAATTTCTCCAGTCAGGCCACTCGAGTGTTCAAAATAGGAGATCCATCGATCACTTCGACTTGAAATCATATGCACTGATTGAAAATCATTGGAAATCAGCAATAATAGTGCGATATTTAACAACAAATAATCCCTCGGCCGTATGTGCAAACACTCGAGTTTGAACTGAAGGAACACAAACTTTCCATTGAGCGAGCGTTTGAAGAAGGTTCCGCTGTTCTGGGTAGACTTCCGGTATCATCCCACCACAGGGCCTCAGTCCGATTTACCTGTGAGGGAGCTGTGGAAGACCCATGGAAATAATTTATTCTGGGACCACGGCAGCGTGTAGGTACGCCTTCGTGCGTTCAGAACACATTGAAGGAGTTGGAAAAGCCATAAGGAGATACTGGATGACTCGTTATCCAATGGTGTTTCCACACCTTTGATTCCGTTA